CGGTCACCAAAGATTCTCGCAATTTGAAAGAATGCAGAAAATTAAATGTTTTGTCCATATGTGAACATATTTCGTCTATCTATCTGAAACAAATTATCAAGTTATAGGCTTTTGAAAAACCGAAGGTAGAATAAATTCCATTCCAGTTACTGGAAATAGCTGAAAAGTTTATACAGAACTACAACTTGATATAATACTTATAAATGAATGTTCGTCAACCTAGCTGTAACGGCACTAAAGTTATTGTGTTCATAGACAGGCACACAGACATAGACATACGGACAAAATTGCAAAACTTCGTTTTTCCGACTCAGAGAGTTGTTAAACTTCTTTTGATTTTTTTCACGATTACAATACTTCCTCTATACTTCATGTACGAGAAAGTAATGATATGAAAAATATAAAAAAGATGATATACAATAACAATTATTTGTCGATAGTATTTCAGCAACGAATGCGTGTTTATAACTAAAAACAATATCGTACATTTTAGTTTATCACTGAAAGGTAAGTAACTAATTCTGTGAAAATCATGTAATCAATTTGATGAATATAGCATCTGTACAAATGTTTAAAAAATCTGATTTATAATTATAATATAATATATTTATTTTTTCCCCTATGTGTCAATAATTATATTTGTAGACTTGAAATCAAAACGAGAAAATTATTTTGTTCCTTTCTTTTTTTCTAAAGATTTAAAAAACTATTTTTATTTTCACAGGAAAATAACGAGTGATATAATGCCAGTGCTTCTGCTTGTAGGCAGGACAGGGAATGGGAAAAGTTCTGCTGGGAATACATTACTGGGTGAAGCCAGATTTCCAGTGTCAAGCGGTGACTCTCCAGATGATCATCTGGTACAGTGGGCAGAGAATGGGAACATTAAAGTCGTGGACGGGTCGCGTATTGGTGACACAGGGGAAGACATGCCAGGAGGAGTGGAAGATTCCATCAGACGAGCAGAACAAGCGTTTGAATTATGTGGTGAAGGGTTCAATGCTCTTATGTTTTGTTTACGTTACGGTGTCAGGTTCACCAAACAGGAGAAAGACGCGGTGCAGCTGGTGAAAGATTTGTTTGGTGATGGCGTGTTTAGGAGATGTGGCGTTGTAATACTGACCTATGGGGATAACTTTGAATTGGATGTAGAGGGAGAGGTAACGTTTAATGAATGGGTTAACCGTCAACTAGGAGATTTCCGTGTATTGGTCAATGAATGTGGAGATAGGTGTTTTCTGCTGAACAACAGAAATAAAGACAATGAACAAGGTATGCACATAATTGCAGTCGCCAGGCGGCTACCGAGATATACAAAAGCAGAATTTAACGCCGCTATTGGATCACTTCAGCTACTGGTTCAACCACCACCTGTACAACACTCACAAAACATCGGAAACATTCGTGTATGCAAAATATTCAAAGGCAATCGAAAAGGTAAGACTTTTGTGCTGTTAACATGCATCTATGTACTAATAAAATTTTACTCAAATTAGTTCAAATATATTTTTGTGTTTGACTGAATTGATTGTCGTGAAATGTACCGATTAAGTGTAATTAATACATCTAAAATTACTGCCATGTTTGCTGTAGTGAAACAATGTTTATATTTATTAACCGTTTGGAAACATTCGTTTGAAATAGAAAACTTAATTATTTAAATCAACGAATAATGTATTAATTGTTTCTGCATATGCAGTTAACACATTAGTTTATTTTAAAAGTCATTTTTTTTTTAAAACAATAATAACCTGAATATAACAAATATTAAGAATGCTGTAAAGAAATAATCAACATAATAGCATACTTTCGAGAAACAGTGTATAAACTTTGAGCGATATAATAATGTACGTTGATCATTTTTGGAAGAAAAGATTCTTTTATAGTATACAAGGCTAGGGTTTAATCGCTGTCAGTCGCAGTGTTATTATTTGGCTCTTTAACACACACTATCTTGGGACTAATTAAAGAAATAGCTCAAATGTTTTGCAGCATTATCGTCTGATCATGTTCCCAGAATAATGCGCAACGGTAAACTGGAGAGTAGTATATTAGGTCACTTTTGGTTATCATTTTTGGCGCAGGTGGTGGTGGGAAGGTACATTGACATATAGTAAAATACTCGGGAGGTGGGAAGGGTGAAGGTACAATGATATATAGTAAAATACTACGCCAACTGGCGCATCGCAGGGTGAGGTGGATGCGCTGCAGGTTCAACGACATATAGTAAAATACTACGCCAACTGGGGTTGGCGCAGGTGGTGGGGAAGTAGGTCACCTTTTGGTGACCTTGTGACGTAATCATTGACCTTGTGACGTAATCATTGACCTTGTGACGTCATCATTGACCTAGTTACGTAATTTTAATGCGTTGTTTTTAATTAGTTTGAATTTAATTTTTAAATTTTAATTAATTTTTTGACCTAGTTACGTAATTTTAATGCGTTTTTTAATGAGTTTTAATGAGTTTTTAAATTTTTAATTAATTTTTATTATCGAGTTACGTAATTTAATTACTTTGATTGTATTTTTATTTTGTTTAATTTGTTTGTTTACTTGTTGTTTAATTTAATTACTTTGTTTATATTGTGTAATTTTTATTAACGAGTTACGTAATTTGATTATTTGTTTACTTTTTGTTTAATTTGTTGGTTTGTTTATTTGATTGTATGTATGTTTAATAGTAATCGGAGAGGGGTGGTGGTGGTTGAGAGGGGTGGTGGATGAGAGGGGGAGTAATGACGGGGATGGAGGAGAGAGGGGCGCTAGCGTGGACAAAAAGTAGAAGGTTCTTTTTATTTTGTTTCCTTGTTGTTTAATTTAATTACTTTGTTTATATTTTGTAATTTTTATTCACGAGTTACGTAATTGGATTATTTGTTTACTTTTTAATTATTTTTTAAATTTTTTTTAAATTTTAATTATTTTAATTTGATTATTAGTTTGAAATTCATTTTATTTCTTTGATTTTGATTACTTTGTTTCATTTATTTATTTGATATATTTCTTTTCTTTGATGTATGGTATTTAAAATAAAAGACACTGTTTATTTGATTGTATGTATGTTTAATAGTAAACGGATAGGGGTGTTGGTGGATGAGAGGGGGAGTAATGATGGGGTTTGAGGGTAGGGGTGCGCTAGCGTGTACTTTGTGAATAACATCCATTAACCAGACATGTAACAGATGTTACGTATCGATTCACCAGCAAAGTTTTTAATATTGACCCCACCCACGGGCCATCACGGCATGATGTCCCGCCTAATTAAATTTTGTTACGCATCGTCGATTTTATGTGTTGTTCACGGAAGCGAACACCGTAGGGATCCAGTGTTTAATCTAAAGAGCTAAGTGGTTAACCGCAAACCCAGCGTTAAGTGTGGTAACAGCTGTACCACTTTAATTGATTTTTCCCCGCTCGGTTACTAGAGTGAGAAGCCATCACGTAACAGCTGGTGCTGTAATTACGCCGAGTAAGGACATTGGTTGTAACTATTCGCTTATAGCGAGGGTCACCGAAAACAAAATATATATTTAAGGGTTGGAATTTTCTTTCAACCTCCGTTAAATCAGGTTTTGAGACGAAACGAAGTCTCCGTAGGTTCGTGTTTTTTAACGGGCGACAGGGCGACTTGGTGCGTTGGTACGCGGGGTAGACATGTTTTTTACAAGTCTGGAAAAGTAATTAAGTTTTTTATGACCGTTCCGATTTTCTTTTGATCTGACCACCATTTGACCACCCTGAGCCAGATAAATTTAACAAATGTTCAGTACATAGTCGCTTATAGTAACATGGGTGAGGGGTGTAAGCAGGCGGGTGACGGTGTGAACAGGTGGGTGAAGGGGGAAATATTAACAAATGTTCAATACATACTCGCTTATAGTAACATGGGTGAGGGGTGTAAGCAGACGGGTGACGGTGTGAACAGGTGGGTGAAGGGTGAAAGGTGGATGAAGGTGGTGGTAAGGTGGTGGTAAGGTGGTGGTAAGGTGGTGGTAAGGTGGTGGTAAGGTGGTGGTAAGGTGGTGGTAAGGTGGTGGTAAGGTGGTGGTAAGGTGGTGGTGGTAAGGTGGTGGTAAGGTGGTGGTAAGGTGGTGGTAAGGTGGTGGTGGTAAGGTGGTGGTAAGGTGGTGATAAGGTGGTGGTAAGGTGGTGGTAAGGTGGTGGTGGTGGTAAGGTGGTGGTAAGGTGGTGGTAAGGTGGTGGTAAGGTGGTGGTAAGGTGGTGCTAAATTTGTTTGGAGTAAAGGATATATAGTAAAAGATTCCACCACCTAAGTGAGGTGGATTTTAATTTTAATTTTTTATTTTATTTTTTCATCATCTGTTAACTTTAAGGTTCTATAACTCTATATATTTAAATACATTTTTTGATTCAAACGAGTTTACTTTTCCTAATGTAAGTACAGGTAAAGAGGGATTTCCTATAGATCTGTAATGAAGTAGGCCTTCTTGACTATGACTGATTGTCCAGGTGTTGACATGATACACTTTTTTTGAGATACACACACACACACACACGCACACACACACACACACACACACGCGCGCGCGCGCGAAATTCATACTAGGTCGGTAAAGGCGGAGAGAACTTATAGGTATACATTATCATGGCGACAACAAAAGCGACCCTTATTTTATTTACATGAAAGCGTGTTTTCCAAAAAGTGTCACCAGGCCGTTGCCATTTTCGCAGCGGGGTTTATTTTAAGTGCACCTTGTGCACGTTTGTTTACATTTTAAAAGACGTGTCACGTGTCTTCCCCATAGGTCTTCCCTACTAGAGAAACGAGAGGAAAGACAACTGTTCTAAAATTAGAACAGCCTTGTCTACAGACACGAGTATCGTCCCTTGTGAAAAAAATTTCGCGTCAGAATCCTTAACTAAACATTCAATTTCTTTAACAAGTTAAAAAATAATTTAGGAAGTCAAGGGTTAACAACATTAGACGCCACCGTTTTTGTTTCCTGTGACGACAAGGCACAATACACTTTTGTATTTTATGTCTCAAGTAGAGGGGTGGGATATTTTTTCTTTGTAAGCGTGTTGTAAACAATAGGTAGAGGAAGCGATTACTAGGTAAGAGGGGAGAGAACGTGACGTACATCGCGATATTTGAAAACATGGCGATGTTTAACCTCAACCAAAAAAGGCAATGAACCTAGAAGGAAGACGAATATATATCTTAGTCTTCCAGCAGATTACCTTCCCATGTTCGCTTTAGTATTACAGTTTTCATCAAACTTCTTTTTGACTTGAACTTCTTTAATTTTTAAGAAAGTTTACTTATACATAAGACATTACGTCTAATGACAATTTTTTATTTTTACCACTCAATGTATTTTGTTTTTCTATATCTTACATTGTCATCTTAATTTTTGATCACCTTAGTAAAAATTTGCTTAAGATTATAAACTTCAAGTTTTAAAAAACAACAACGTTATAGTACGTCGTGTCAAATGACAGACCGTTTAAAATGTCTACATTTAAAGTTCACCAATATAATGACGTAAAAACTAAATATGATATGACGTTAGCATACATATCATACAATCTAATTTAGTTTTTACGTCATTATTTTGGTGAACTTTAAATGTAGACATTTTAGACGGCGTGTCGTTTGACACGACGTATTATAACGTTGTTGTTTTTTAAAACTTGAATTTTATAATCTTCACCCACCTTTCACCCTTCACCCACCTGTTCACACCGTCACCCGTCTGCTTACACCCCTCACCCATGTTACTATAAGCGAGTATGTATTGAACATTTGTTAATATTTCCCCCTTCACCCACCTGTTCACACCGTCACCCGCCTGCTTACACCCCTCACCCATGTTACTATAAGCGACTATGTACTGAACATTTGTTAAATTTATCTGGCTCAGGGTGGTCAAATGGTGGTCAGATCAAAAGAAAATCGGAACGGTCATAAAAAACTTAATTACTTTTCCAGACTTGTAAAAAACATGTCTACCCCGCGTACCAACGCACCAAGTCGCCCTGTCGCCCGTTAAAAAACACGAACCTACGGAGACTTCGTTTCGTCTCAAAACCTGATTTAACGGAGGTTGAAAGAAAATTCCAACCCTTAAATATATATTTTGTTTTCGGTGACCCTCGCTATAAGCGAATAGTTACAACCAATGTCCTTACTCGGCGTAATTACAGCACCAGCTGTTACGTGATGGCTTCTCACTCTAGTAACCGAGCGGGGAAAAATCAATTAAAGTGGTACAGCTGTTACCACACTTAACGCTGGGTTTGCGGTTAACCACTTAGCTCTTTAGATTAAACACTGGATCCCTACGGTGTTCGCTTCCGTGAACAACACATAAAATCGACGATGCGTAACAAAATTTAATTAGGCGGGACATCATGCCGTGATGGCCCGTGGGTGGGGTCAATATTAAAAACTTTGCTGGTGAATCGATACGTAACATCTGTTACATGTCTGGTTAATGGATGTTATTCACAAAGTACACGCTAGCGCACCCCTACCCTCAAACCCCATCATTACTCCCCCTCTCATCCACCAACACCCCTATCCGTTTACTATTAAACATACATACAATCAAATAAACAGTGTCTTTTATTTTAAATACCATACATCAAAGAAAAGAAATATATCAAATAAATAAATGAAACAAAGTAATCAAAATCAAAGAAATAAAATGAATTTCAAACTAATAATCAAATTAAAATAATTAAAATTTAAAAAAAATTTAAAAAATAATTAAAAAGTAAACAAATAATCCAATTACGTAACTCGTGAATAAAAATTACAAAATATAAACAAAGTAATTAAATTAAACAACAAGGAAACAAAATAAAAAGAACCTTCTACTTTTTGTCCACGCTAGCGCCCCTCTCTCCTCCATCCCCGTCATTACTCCCCCTCTCATCCACCACCCCTCTCAACCACCACCACCCCTCTCCGATTACTATTAAACATACATACAATCAAATAAACAAACCAACAAATTAAACAAAAAGTAAACAAATAATCAAATTACGTAACTCGTTAATAAAAATTACACAATATAAACAAAGTAATTAAATTAAACAACAAGTAAACAAACAAATTAAACAAAATAAAAATACAATCAAAGTAATTAAATTACGTAACTCGATAATAAAAATTAATTAAAAATTTAAAAACTCATTAAAACTCATTAAAAAACGCATTAAAATTACGTAACTAGGTCAAAAAATTAATTAAAATTTAAAAATTAAATTCAAACTAATTAAAAACAACGCATTAAAATTACGTAACTAGGTCAATGATGACGTCACAAGGTCAATGATTACGTCACAAGGTCAATGATTACGTCACAAGGTCACCAAAAGGTGACCTACTTCCCCACCACCTGCGCCAACCCCAGTTGGCGTAGTATTTTACTATATGTCGTTGTACCTGCAGCGCATTCACCTCACCCTGCGATGCGCCAGTTGGCGTAGTATTTTACTATATATCATTGTACCTTCACCCTTCCCACCTCCCGAGTATTTTACTATATGTCATTGTACCTTCCCACCACCACCTGCGCCAAAAATGATAACCAAAAGTGACCTAATATACTACTCTGGAGAGACAGAAAAATGCGCAAATACAAACTAATTAAACTAATACTATTTATTTTTGCAATATTTCGTTGAAATGTGTTCTATTATACAACAATGTACATGTGGTCTCTCTTCGTTAATGGCTATTTAAGAAAAAAAGTTCTTTTGCACTTTTTGTGCGTAGTTTTCAGTTGCTCCGTTTTTGGTTTCGTGTGTTTTCGGTCACCATCTAAGAAATCTTGTTTTTAAAAACCAGTTTTGAATCTACATACAGAGTCATTATTATTCTGTGTGTGTAACATTCCGAATCGTAAAACCCGTAGAACGCAAATTTTTAACACCCTACACAATTATAAACGATCGCCCAACCACCAACATTATCTCCATTGAATTCTAGACCGAGATTTTCTCATATACTGAGCTGAAGGTTTGAACTATTCAATCCAACACACTCACATAATACATTTCCCCGTGTTAATTATGCTGCAGGTCACTCCAAGAAAATACCCACATTATTGGTATTCGTAAGAAAACACCATGTTGAATGCGTACAATTTAAATTTATTATGGATAGCCAAAAAACGATAGCAAGGTTACCTATTTCAACATAACTGTAAATATAAGTTTTTATGTGATTCCATTGTAATAATAATAATAATGTATATATATATATATATATATATATATATATATATATATATATATATATATATATATATATATATATATATAACAAGTTTGTATTATAATAATATGTATATATTACAGCACTGATCATCCTTGGAAGTCAACAACAGTATATTGCTAGTACTTTAGAAAACGCCAGCACCAATTCGCCCACTGTGGTGACACGTCATGAAGGAAAAAATGTAAAGAAAATTATCGTGGGTGAGACAAAATACAAACTAATTGATTACACATTTAACGGCAGAGATTCACTAGCGAGATCATACCTGGAAACTGGTCATCGTTTTAAAGCCATTCTGCTGTGTGTTACGTCTGGTCGAATCACGGAAGAAGAAAACAACATAGTTAGAGAAGTGAAGGAGTTGTTTGGTGACCGAAGCTTACGAGAAAGGGGAATTTTAGTTGTGAGACAACAAGAAGTTGGTGAGAACGCTGAAGAAGTTGATGAAAACGCTGAGTTTGAACAGTTTTCTACACAATTTCGGGAAGTTGTAAATATCAGCCCACAATATGATATTAACAATCTCTTAGATTTTATATTAAGCTTACCAAAAAGTTACAAAAATGATGTCCAAGTGGGAAACAAGCGCATGTAAATGCATCGAAAATATCCATCCCTACAAAAAAAAATATGCTGTTAAGTACCGTTTCGGTAATTTTTCCAATTTTCTTTCCCGTATGCAAACTATAGAGGAAGTATTGTAATAGTGCAAAAATAGAAAAAAGCTACGTAGACGAAATTTCATGTATAAGTTGAATATCTAACGCTCCGGTTTATTTTTTTTTTAAATGAGCGTAAATAGTACCTTATGCCCAAAATAAATAAATAGATAAATAAACAGCATAGAAAAAACAAAATTGTCCCAAACTTGGCGAGCTTAATTTCGAACAATTTTGCCGATTTATTTCAAACTTTTTACGTAATTCAAGACTCGCAGACAATACATCGTGACCAAAATGTTACTTAATTAGATGGTAAGTTAACTTTTTAAAATTAGTCAAGCTTTTATTTTTATAAAGTGTTCGTTTTCCTCACTACTATACACATATTTCTTGCGTTCAGATGGTGCGTATTTATTTTTCTACGCGATTGTATTCAATTTTTAAAAATTATATATCAAAAATGATAAAAAAAATATCTCTAGCGTGAATACAGTGAAAGTGCCCGTACCCTTAGTATTATATTAGAAAATACAAGTAAGTTTAGGGAGATCACCCCGCCCCCCTTTCAATACATTAAATTTTTACTTTTAGTGTTGAAATGAAATGAAGAGTAAAGGGGCTTGCGTTAATTGCAAAAGAAAAAAACAAACTATATAAAAAAAAACATTTAACAATGTTATGTATATTGTGTGTTTTATTCCATGCCTATTGTTGTTTTCAGTGTTGGTATTGTGTTATAAGTTCAGGGTAAAGGATATGTGCTTTTGGAACAAGTATTAATTCATTAAAACGTGTTCTTGTAATTATTTCATGTAATTTACTCAAATTAAGTTAATTTTAAAATTATTATTCTCTGTGTTTTGCATTTACTTTATTCGATCGCGTTAAGTGTGTACAAAATATGATGTAGACTTTCATCTTTGTTATCATTTTTTAAATTTAATAATAAAGGTAACAAGAAAATGTATGCTGTTTTGAAATATTAGACACGGAAGCGAATTCCAAAAAACATAGACTGCAAATACGATTATTCGTGGGAAAAATAACCATATGATTAACAGTCTTATCGGTAAACTAAAATGGCATACCATTAACTTCCAAATGTATTTATTTCAATTGTTTTTTTTTCGGTCGGCGTGTTTGGGTGGTATATCTTAAGGTTGCTAAACCAAAAGTACCGAGTTTAAAACCCCTTACATCGATTTGGGGGCAGCAGCCTATCTAGTAGAGAAAAAAAAAACACCAAGATCCAATAACTGCTTCATTGTAGTTTGTTCTTTATTGAAGCAAATCCAGAAAGAAAAGCAATACAATAAATTACAAAGAAGAAGACTAAACAGTGTCTTTGTTGAAAGTGATACATTTTATGTCACTTCATTATATAATCTTACACCAATAAAACAATAAAATGCCAACACAGGTTTTTAAAAGTTTCTTATTATCAATGAACCTATCCATGTTAAACGCGTCACCACCGACAGTAGATTGTGTGTTGCGAAAGAGTGAATTCAAAAAGTGTGATTTATTGTTAAAACATGGAGGATCTTTTGTATAATAAACGCTATTTATAATAGACACATACTATGGCTTCGATAATGCCACATCAGATGAATATAATTTTTGTATAAAATAAATAAATGAAGATTAAGCATGTTCTATGGTATGATGTAATACTTAGAGCTTATAATTTGTTGAACAATATGCTTTAAAAGCTGGTCGCAAATGGTTCCAAAAGGCTGTTACCAAGTAGCTTATTTTAAAACAAAAATTTTACATTTGTGGAATAAGTACAAAATGACTTCCAGTTTTAATAAGGCTAGAAATATTTAATAAATAATTAATATAACAGTAATTTAGCAATCTCTTTTTTAAAAAAAATGGATTAATAGGGTGCTATGGTGATAAGTGATATTATACTATTTAATATAAATTACCTGCTAAGGTTATACCGCAGTGATCGCTATTGTGTATTTTATCATGATATACAATTGTTGTGAAATTCATTTTTTTTACTTTCTCTGGCCACTCCGGTTTACTTAAAGATGGGTTTACTGTGGTTTTTAAAAAAGATATTGGAATTGATTAAATAATTCAAAGCGAATTTTCAACCGCTTATAATCAATAAAAAATTCAATATGAAAATCAGCCTTTAATTTTTACAAATATAACTATTGGTTCACCATTTATTTCGGATGGAATAATGTCTGAAGTTAAAATAATTACCTTTTCAGGAATTGACAGTAATATATTAATATATATATATATATATATATATATATATATATATATATATATATATATATATATATATATATATATATCTGTTAAAGCAGAACAAAGTTGTTATTGATTTAACGCATACTAATAAGAATTATATCGACTAGAACAATCAGAATTTTAGCCGATGGATAAATAACACGTGATCCTTGAATAACAAAAGGTCGTGTCACACATGTACATCTTAAACTAAATTATTCTATATAGGATAATCTAAATAAGATTTTATAAACGGGTAATTATTTTATTCTTTTGACAAAAAAAATCAGCATACAGCTATGCCATTTATGGTGATAGTTTAGTTGGTAGATAAAAAGATAATTGAAGTAGTCTGATTGCTGTGTTTAAGAGTTTAAGTCTCTTATCCAAATCAATTCTAGATCAGTAGACACGGCCAACACCTGTTTGTATGTGTAATTATGGAAAAAAAAATTGAACACCCCCATTAAACGATTCTGGCTACGCCACTGGCACTGGTAGATGTATGGAAATATAATAGAAGACAGGCAGATAAAATACAATATCATATTTCTAGTTTTAATTCCATGAACAAGACTGTTTTTGTGTCAATCTTTTCTTTACAAAATGTACCGAAGTAGCTATTCGAGGCTTTATTGGTAAACCATTGGCTAGGATCATTCAATATGTATCACATGTTAACAGAATATATATCTATCGCATTCATGGTGGTTTCTTTTTAAAGTTAAAATACAGTCTGTTGACTATGGTAAGGCTACATCAACTACATTTAGCTAGCACTTAGACGTATGTTTAACAAGTAGGAGAAATATTCCTCTAGTGCTAAAAGTTAAAGTTTCCCTTTCAAACCTGACGGTCTATGGGGCAAGTGAAGTAGAGTTCACTTGTTTCTGTGACTTCGGCATATGAAGAGATAGTGTGGTCAGCACTATGCCCAGTTGCCTTTATTTTCTCTAACGTGAGTTAGGTACCCATCAGAATTGGGTGGACTCACGGACGTTCTACTGACTTGTAGTGCTATTGATGCAAAATGTGATGTAACCATACTTTGTAAACCCGCTCTTTAAAAAAAATCCCTGTGGTTTTATTTATGTTAGGAGTTAGAAATTTTAAAAAATAAATTAATTATCGCTGTTGTTTTAATATTTGTCTTAAGTGTGTTTTTTATGTAGAACTCAATGTCCTCAGCTTATCGCAGATGGCGATCATCAGAAAAATTGCTTTTATTACTGTCCATGACCCGTTACACGTTGTTTTGAACTAAACCCAACAGTTTTCAGGTATCTTTAGAAAAAAAATTATTAAAAATAGTTTTAATATGTAACATAATAGAACTCTAGTAAAAACTTTATTCCAATTCTATCAACGTGTCTACAATAACATGAGAAAAAAACGTTTAAGACATTATTAAAAGGATGAACGTGGTTGGTGAGAAGTGGGTTATCCATTAAAAAAAAAACAATTACTTCATTTATCCTTCATGTTAATCAGACTAATACTAGTGATCTATTGTCTAAGATCTATGGTGTACGGTGCAAGGTATATTGTCTATAGTCTACAGTCTACGATCTGTAACTTTAGCATTTAGCCCGTTGCCCGCATCCCGTAGCCTATAGCCCGTAGCCCGTAAAACTAGCCCGTAGCCCGTAGACTGTAGCATGTACCTTGTTATCTGTAGCCTGACTTTGCAAACTAACGACAATATTTGAAATAAGACATGAGATGTCAATCGATTTTGTAGGCTGATTTCTTTCCCAATCCTGTCTGACAATCTTTTTGTTATAAGTAAACGAGCCGACCTGCGGCGTATCATATGCCGCTATTTAGTTGTTGTTTTTTCTACTTTTCAGTAATTCATAATTTGTGAATTCGACAGTAGCAATGCTGCCCCTGAAAATATTTGCTTTAAAATACTAAAACACTCCTTTCCCCCAACCCCTACACCCCCTCGTGAAAGCAGCCTCCTCTTAGTTACCTCCCCTAAGTTTAAAATCGTTTCAAACTAAATTATCTGCCCCTAATAGCCGTCACTTAACCCGTCGCTACGATTGTAAACATTTAGCGTGAACCACAGCTCACCATACCATGTGAGGGTGGGGGTGGTAGAGATATGCCTAGAGAGGAAGAGAGGGGACTGCTAGGCGCGCTTACAGCTTGGTGTTTTCTACCAATACGTGGTAGTTTTCCAATTGGCTAAATAGTTGGCTGTTTTGACCAATCGATTTACACAGAATAATCATTAAGCCCGTTGCTCAAATCCATCTTCTTAACGACATCAACAGGCCCGAATCTATTTTATCACATAATTTCTTGAATATATTCTTATTTATTTCATACTTTAAGTCGATATTCAACATTATTACACGTACACCTTCGAGAATGAAGAGAATGAATCTGCTTTTTCTCCTGGTTCTAATGCTGGCAGCTTTAGCGAATGGGCGAGTCTTTACTTAACTAAGCTGATCAACGCATCATCTAGGAAAACAAAGAAAAAAAAACAAATAGCATACAGCAAAGTTAAAATTTCTTCGTCTCTAGTTTTCGTCGATACCAATTATTGCTGATTCCTTAAAAAAAACACTAGTATGACCTCTTCTGTTGAAATCAGATGTTCTAGCCATAGTGATGCCAACTTAATTAAGCATCAATTACTAAACAAAAGAAAATATAACTAACATTGAAGAAAAAACTTTTTAGATTTAATGTAAATTTAAATGATAATAAAAATGCGTTTTTAATAAAGCATTTGTCGCTAATAAAATCTTTTGCATATAAATGCAACCAATTCGATTAATATTAATTAATATTTTAAGTGGATCTAAGAGATTATTATATTTAAGAATGATTTATTTTACTAATTTATTTGTTTATTTTTTCTTAAAAGTATATTTACAAATGAATGTGTTTAGGTGCAATATGCTTAGTAATAAAAGTTACCGAAAACGGAAAAATGCCGAGAGTCTAAATAATGCAAGTAAGTGAACATACAGTCACGTGCTAAAAAAACATATTATGCTTATGCTTATGCTTATGCTTATGCTTATGCTTATGCTTATGCTTATGCTTATGCTTATGCTTATGCTTATGCTTATGCTTATGCTTATGCTTATGCTTATGCTTATGCTTATGCTTATGCTTATGCTTATGCTTATGCTTATGCTTATGCTTATGCTTATGCTTATGCTTATGCTTATGCTTATGCTTATGCTTATGCTTATGCTTATGCTTATGCTTATGCTTATGCTTATGCTTATGCTTATGCTTATGCTTATGCTTATGCTTATGCTTATGCTTATGCTTATGCTTATGCTTATGCTTATGCTTATGCTTATGCTTATGCTTATGCTTATGATTATGATTATGATTATGATTATGATTTTGATTTTGATTTTGATTTTGATTATGATTATGATTATGATTATGATTATGATTATGATTGTGATTGTGATTGTGATTATGATTGTGATTGTGATTGTGATTGTGATTGTGATTGTGATTGTGATTGTGATTGTGATTGTGATTGTGATTGTGATTGTGATTGTGATTGTGATTGTGATTGTGATTGTGATTGTGATTGTGATTGTGATTATGATTATGATTATGATTGTGATTGCGATTGTGATTGCGATTGTGAGTGTGAGTGTAAGTGTAAGTGTGATTATTATTACTATTATTATTGTTTGTTATGGTTATTGTTATTGTTAACTGAAATACAGACATACAATAACATGGACTATTACCCAGATTTGTGCAAAAACTACAACGTTATCTGTCGTATGTGTACTTTAGTAAGCTTAATAAAATTTTATACAAAAATACATGTTATCAGGAGTGTAATTTTTGTTTTAGGCAATCTGACGAAGCACTCTGAAACGCCTGCATTTAACTAGCTTGGTGAAGTTGATTGATCTACAGCAAGCCAAAAACTATTTTACAGTTCCAGAAAAACTTCAGTGTATTATTTGTGAATGTAATAAATTAAAAGTTCTCTAAATAAAAAAACTAGCTGAGTAAGACATAATTCTATTAGCTTACTATATACGAGTGAGAATACCTTACACTGATAAGTTAGGCGTATTAATTCGATTGTAAATAATTGGTAACTAGAGGCGTTTGTTTCAGGTTCTGGTAAACTGAAGTGTCACTTTACTCTTTTATCGATTACTTTTTTTACCAGACTTTGAGACGTTTATATCTGTTAAGGAGGTTCATTTTTTCCTCCATTAAAAATGATGTGGAAATAAGTAAGACAAACGTAATTATATAGCTGCAGCGAAAGATAGGTAGCTGTTGTTTTCAGTTCCATGAACTATAAAAGCGAGGATCCGGTTGG